GGCATCTGAGCCTAGATGTGGCCTGCATCGTCTCTTTCCCACGGCCTAGAACTTAGTTATACATCTCTGATCTAATTGTGGAGGAAACTGGAAAATGCAGGAGAGCAAACAGAAGGTAGTGCATACCTAGGGGTTCAGTTATATCACCAATCAGTCGCAAGACATCCCAAACCAAGCAGTGCAAACTCTCGTTCCAAACCTCAAAGCTCCAAGGGAGAGGCCTTGGCCCACCTTTGGCCAGCTGTCCACTCTTCACTGTCTGTTCTGTGTTAGGAAAGGAGTCAGGCTGAGGGAATGGCAGCCATCTTCCCATCTTTGACTAAGTTCTTCAGACAATCAGTGTCCAGAACTTGAGAGCAAACCACAGAGACTCCAGCTCCCTCAGGTTACTTCTCAGCAATAGTTTCTGAGTTTTAGGGAAAACATAATTTTAAAAATAAAAAATCTAGTAACGTACATGGAGTAGGCAAGGCTTCTTGTGACACACACACACACACACACACACACACACACACACACACACACACACACCTCTCTCTGGAAAAAAGGTGTCCAAGCTGTAATGGTGGTTGCTAGATATAGGAATGTAGAAGCCATTTCTCCTAGTTTCACCAGAAATTTCTTATCTACAGGGGTGGTACTGGGGTCCTCTCAGAGGAACACTGAGTGGCAGTCATTGGGGCTCTCTTCTGGCCATGTGGTGAGAGATTACTTCTTGGTCCCCTTTCTAGTTGGGAGTGGGGCTATGACTTGCTTTGGCCAATGACAAGGAAGCACAAGTGGCAAATGTTACAACAGAAGCTTTCAGAGCTAACATAATTACAGAGTAGTTAACATAATTAACTACTGAGTGGAATGGCTGAGCCTGAATCTCCCAACTCAACACATGCTGGACATTCAGTGTGAGAAAACAAGGGACTTTCATTTTGGTGAACCATTGAGGCTGGAACAGTGTTTAGATAAACTGATCCATTCAAACTACTAAATACTCATATGTGTCCATCCAACCCACAAGAGATGCTGATGAATAGGCAGAAGCCCATGTGACAAAGCAGAGTATCCATCCTTCTCTGGGTCGTCTGTTGGAGGACTTTTATGGCAGTAGTTAGTAACGAGTTCATTTACATGTCCTTTTTATCATGAAAGTTGTGAAGCATAGATCCACTGATATTTTAAATGGGAAATTCTTTGAATATGGAAGTCTATAAGATAGACCTGTGGGTCTCCACCCCTTTGGGGTTTGAGCAACCCTTTCACAGGAGTCACCTAAGACTACTGGAAAACACAGATGTTTACTATTTGTAACAGTAGCAAAATTACAGTTATGGAGTAGCAACAAAAATAATGTTATGATTGGGGGTCACCACAACATGAGGAACTGTGTTAAAGGGTCGCAGAGTTAGGAAGGTTGAGAACCGCTAGGTTGTACAATAAATACTTAGACTCTCCTCTTTGCTGTCATGTGCAGTAAGTGTAGACTGATTCCCTATGCCCAACCAGACTGCTCACCACAGGCTTTGTTTGTTAGACATTGAAAGATGAAGTGCTAAATAAAGAGCAAAGGAAGATCACCAGAGACAGCTTTGGTTCCAGTTTGTTTGTTTTGTTTTTTAGAAGCCTGTTTGTCTCACTGTATATTCACAGTTAGAACAGTCTTCCCAGCACTCCCCCCCCCACTAATAAACCACACTTAACTCACTTTCTGACAAGTTTTGCTTAAGAGTGTTCTTAGATCAAATCAACAATCAGGCAAATCTGATTATTTATCAAAGCGGCACATTTACCTTAGTTCTTAAAGATAAGAGAATTAAAAAGCTGTAAAGAAATAAGGAGGAAATCAAAGAGTTCTTTTAAATACGCAAGAGCCAGAAGCCAGGAGCAATTGCACTGGATTTCTCCAAGTCTCAGGTACAGTGTTAATGGCACGAAGACTAACTGGGAGATACCAGTGGAAGGCTTACAGTGAAAGTTGCCCAACAGTGGTCTAATCAAGAAGCCCCTTGCCAGTGTCCTCCACATCTCCTCAAGTGCTGGGCCTCAGCTTTGCTGTGACACTTTCAAATCATGGTTTTGGAACTCTCCAACAGGACTTAGTGTCAGCTTGTGCATACTATTTCTGATGCTGGGAGTCTGCCTCTGGAGTAAAAAACATACCTAGGTTAGGTTCAGGGCCCAGCCAACCTGTAGCTTGTGTGAACATGAATAAATATGTCCTGTCTTCCTCACTGATGCAGGCATGAGCCAAGGTGTTCAGTCTGGAAAGCAGGTCAGAACTTAATGTGCTCATCCTCTTGGCTGACCCTGAGGTGCAGGGCCCAACATGTCTGCCTGTGCACAAAAGCCCTGCCAATTGCCTGGTTCCCTGGGTTCTCTTATGGTCTAGCCTAAGAGCCAGGGTGTACCACAGTTTAGAATTTGCTACATGATTCTCCAAAGAAGCTTTGATGAGGAGATGAAGGATGAGAGTAATGATAATAATTATTGTTAACCATTAGTAAGATTATTGTGATTTTTAATTATTATGGCAGTGGAGTTTCCAGTATACTCCCAGAAAAGCCTGTTTAATGATTCATGTTGCTAAAATCCCCATGCTGATCGTACTGGCTTCAATTTCTGTTCCCAGGAGCATGGGATGAAGGCTTGAACTGCAGTGGGATGTGAAGGAGATGAGGAGGAAGATCAGAATACTAACATCTTTTTAAGGACACATTTAGAGATTGGTGATGTTTGTTTGGACATATCATTTTCCTCTTCTCTCTCTCTCTCTCTCTCTCTGTCTCTCTCTGTCTCTCTCTCTCTCTCTCTCTCTCTCCTTTCTCCTTCTCTCCCTTCCTCCTTCTCTTGACAGGGTATATAGTCCATACTGGCCTGAAACTCACCAGGCTGGTCTAGAACTAATGACCCCTTCCTCTGCCTCTGAGGGATTACAGGTGTGCACGGTCATGCCTGGCCTGCTCTAAATACTTTCCTACCTCTTCTATTAGAGTGTCATCCTGTGTCCTCATTCTTTGCAATACAACGTCCCCTACACCACGCTTGCTGAAGTGCACCAAGCTCTTGAATTGTCTATTTTCCTTTCCCAGAAAATGAAATCACATCATCTTGGTGCAGCATGTCTTTAAGGATGGAAGCAAATGGGGCCGGCCTGACTGACAGTATTAATATGAGAAAGATGATTGTATTATTTTCCTAGAGGACCCCCCTTCAGCTTTTATTTGTCAATTTGTTTGCTTTCATGAGGATGTTTTTTTCAGGAAGAGCCCATCCCTGGCTGCTCTTTGCTCCTAGACGCAGCTTGTCAGAGCTACTCCTGTTTACTATAATGTCTTTTCCCTTTGGAACTCTGACTTTCCTGGAGTCTCTAATTTTTATCTAGTGACTCTTGGAGGAGAAGCAGGAATTGACACAGAGGTGGACTTAGGGAATGTGGATGGATTAGAGGTTGCACCCATGTTTTAGCTGGGAAACACAGGTGTTAAATTCACAGTATTCTCAGGCTGGCCTTCCCACGCCATACCCAACAAGCAGCACAAACCCAGTCCCTAAAAGTCTCTGCAGAGGAGGGATGTTTTCTGTAGTGAGATGTGTCCAATTAGAGTCAAGTCAAACAGGAATCGATGCAGAAAGTGAGAGCAGCATATTACTGCTGACATTACTGTCAGTGTATTGCTCAACAGATACTGAATTGCCTGGAATTTTACATTACAGGGAATTAGCTTTTAATTAAATGACTGTGTCGAACTGCATTGTTCTAAAGTGAACACTGAGTGGGCTAATAATGCCCCACTTTAAAAATGAAGCATGGTGTGGGTAGAAAAAGTTGTATTTTAATGGATTTCTAGCTATGCCTGAGTCACTATTACTGGAGGTTGATAAAAGCACATTCATTCTTAGAATATCAGCCTCATAGCCCACAGAAAGCACTGAGAATAAAGTCTTGAAATCCAGACACATTTAAGTACAGTAAGCATGTAACCATCCTAGCAGGATGAATGATAGTCACATGCCTCTCCCTCAGCCATCAGCCCATTGAGACGACAGTACTTTCCACAGGACTGGAATTGTCTCAGGGGTCTCATCCAAGAGAAGGAAAGGCTGAAGCCAGTACCAGTCAGAGGAGGACTTTGTCTCCCAGGAAGAGGTTTCCCACAGTTCTGACAACCTGTAAGGCCACCTTTCAGGAGAGCAGGGAGCCCAGACAGTGATGGGTGGAAGTCAGCGCAGTGCTGACCGGACCACACCTTGAGAGGACTTAGTGATGCACACCTCTTGCCTTCTGTTTAGACCCAGATCTCCTGCCTGCATTCCAAAGCTGGTCTTAGGTCGGGAGAGGACCCACTGGTCAGCTTTGTTTCTCTTTCCAGCATGGATGCATTGAACAACTGCTTTCTGTTCTTCACTCCACCCCATGATCAAAGATATCTTCAGAATAAAAAACGGTGTGCTCATTTGTGAGACACCAGCCGGATTTTCCTTATCCCGTCTCAAAATTTAAAGATCAGTTTCCCCAGAAGGTGTGAAATAGATCATTTTTGAGGGTGGGAATGTAAGACACGTTAAATTGTTCAATGATAGACATGGAAGATTGCTCTCCAATATAACTTGTATGCACTTGATGACTCAGAAAAAACAATCATTTGTGACCAGCCTAAAAAGCCTGATGCATCTAACATATTTCAGAATGTTTTGTGTGGCAGGAGTTCTCCAGTTGTACCATGTGGGCCCTTTGAAAGAAACAGAAGGCCAATTTTTATTGAGTCTGCAGAAAAGCATCACATCTACCCTAACGGAATACCCTGTGTAGTGAATGGAGGGTGGAGACCTAACCTTAACACATTAAGGAAAAGTACGTCAATGTAAAATACAGACTAAACAGCATTCGGGAGTAATGTTCTAAGAATCAATACAGGCTGGAAAAGTGGACCTTCCTTCCTGATGAAAGCCCTCCCAGTGTAAGGCAGGACCCCTCTGTGCTAACTTCTGCGGATAAACACCTCTGCTTATTTAGTTTTCTCCTCTGAGTTCAAGTTCTGCCAGATTAATTATTTTGGTGTTACTTTGTCCCATGGAATTAATGACAGCCAGGCTAAGGTAACACACCATTACAGCCAGCAGCTTCTCAAACATCCTGATAGTCAATTTCCTCTGTGGTGTCTTGTGGTGAAGCTTCTGCCATGGAGCCTCTAGGTATGATTGAAAAGGCTTCTGCAGAGACAGACCTATGGGGGGACAGCACCAGTGAAAGCCACCATCTGCTCCATGATGTGCTTTCGGGAAGTTAATGTAACAAAGACTTTCTGGATATGTATTTTAATGATTGCTTTTCCAATCAGCGTTGCACCAACTAAGGTCCAAAAAGGTACAAGGAAGTGTCCACATGTTATTCTAGGCTGGTCAAATACGGGCTTTGGAATAGAAGCACAGGCCAAAATTAAAATAAAAAAAAAAAAACAACTTTCTATACTAGCTTTTAAACAATCCATGATGCAGAGTCTTGTGAACTCTTTACATGTCCCAGCATTTCTTCAAATTCCTGATACTTTTCATCATCTGGCTCAGCACCTGAGAGGCGAGTTGTGCTGGCCATGAAATGCAGAGGCAGGACACAGCTCTCCAACGGCTGTACCGACACCCACGTCTTTTGAGATGATGCTCCATGAAGGAACGGCTCCTTCAGTGCATTCTCATCTAGATGGATACTCTGGTCAGGGTAAGGTGACTCAGGGAAATTAACTGCATTGCATTGGCATTGTTTGTTTTTACTCTTTGGCTCTTTGCTCCTTGGGGTTCCATTACTCAGCTCCTAAATAAGTACATGGAGGCTTATTCTTTCTTATGAATGCCCGGCCTTAGCTTGGCTTATTTCTAGCCAGCTCTTCTTAAATTATCCTGTCTATCTTTTGCCTCCAGGCTTTTACCTTTCTCTATTTCTGCATATATTTTCTTTCTTTCTTATTCCATGTCTGGCTGTGTGGCTGGGTGGCTGGCCCCTGGCATCCTCCTCTCCTCCCTTTCTCACTCTTCTACCTTCTCTTTTTCTCCTTCTATTTATTCTCTCTGCCTGGCAGCCCCACCCATCTCTCTACTGCCTAGCTATTGTTCATTCAGCTCTTGATTAAATTATAGACGAAGTTTCTTTCCCACATGGTCCTGCTACCCTTTAGTCCCAAATAAACACACAGAGGCTTATATTAATTATAAAACTGTTTGGCCAATGGCTCAGGCTTCTTACAGGATAGCTCTCTCTCTTAATTATTAACACATAACTATTAATCTATGTATTTCCACATGGCCTTATCTTACCGGAGAATGCCCGGTGTCCTGTCTTCCTGGTAGCTACATGGCATCTCCCTGGCAGTTCCTCTCTGCCTTTCTCTTCCCCAGAAGTCTCTTTGTCTGGTAGTCATGCTTATACTTCCTGCCTGGCTACTGACCAATTAGTGTTTTATTCATCAACAAATAAGAGAAACATGCATACAGAAGGACAGCCCCCATCATTAGACCAATCAGGTGTTTAAGACCGGCAAAGTAACACAGCTTCACAGAATAGAAAAAATGCATCATAAAAGAATGCAACACATCTTTGCATCATTAAACAGATGTTCCACAGCATAAACAAATGTAACATATCTTAAATTAATATTCTACAACATTGCATTCATAGATAGCTAATGTAACCGAAGCTATATGAGAGCAGGTAAAGCAGGAAAGTGTGCAAGCCTGTTCCAAAACCAACAGGACAGCAGGAGGCATAGGAAAGAAACTGCTTTTCTATGCACTGCACACACACTGTTGGTGCACTCCTTCCACACCCTACACAGCTATCAGCACAGCAAGCAGCAGTCAAAAAGACACCACAAATGCTTTGACGATGCCACAATTTTGAGGTCCATTCCTTCAAAACTATAAGAGTTTCCAGGGGAAAACACTACAAGGTATGAGTGGCTGTGTCCACAGGACAATATTCTTTTTTCCTTAGCCCTTCTCTTCTTCTCATGTACTGAAGAAAAGCCTATGAAACTTCTACTGTTCTTTACTCATTGCTACACATCTCTGGTCACAATTTTTCCCATTCTCTGCCATTTCACAGATCAGTAACTCTGGAGGAGCCGTTCAGACCCCCAGCTTCTCCAGATTTCAGGATCCTGGAAAGCGCTCCCAGAATTGACTCTCACACCCAATGCTGAGACCACTTTCTGCTTTTCACTTCTATTTGTCAGTTTTATTGGCCTATGAGGATGGGTGGTTTAGCCTAGGTATCAAGGCTGTCACAAGGACCATAACAGCTCCATCTTGTAACGAGTTCTCTGCATCCATAGTTGCCATATCAGTAGATCCTACCAACCATAGGTCAAAAATGGTCAGCTGAACATGAACAGATGTTTTTCTTGTCTTTGTTCCCTAAGATACAGTATAACTGTTTGTTACTTAGCATTTACATGGTGTTAGGTATCAGAATTAATCTAGAGATTGTTTATGTAGGAGGATGCCCATAGGTTATATGCAAATGTCGTACCCTTTATATAAGAGACTTGAGTGTCTGGCCTGGAGCCAGCCTCCCCAGGAGACAGAGGAACAACTGTGTGTTATATTCATTCATGTCTCAGGACTTCAGTGGGAAATCAGCTGAGTTACATATCAAAAAGCTCTTTCTGCTGTTTCCCAGCTTCTTGCCTCTGTTTCATTTGCACAAACATAAAAGGAATGTGTTGGTCTTTTTTATTTTTATTCCCCAAACAGAAATTGGAAGCTCTTGTTGAGCACATTTGATATGACAAGACCCAAGAACAATCAGAAGAATTGTCCTTTGGAATCAGGTCTGGGTTGAGGACAAGCTTACTCAGCAGCTTCCTGTCACCCTGGGCAGTCAATGCTCTCCAGGAGACCAGTATCTGTGACCTTCAGTGGGAGGGGTGAGCAATGTCATTGGTCCTTAGGTCTAAAAAGGGGGCCTACAATGGCTACTTTGTTTTTCTGCTCTTCCAAAGAAGGATAAAGAATATGGTACTCGTGCTTAATTCTGAAGGAAAAAAAATCATGCAGCTAGATTTTCCCCCCTAAGAATTAAGACAGAACAAACAATATTTTCACCCCATATGCAAAACATTCTTGGGATAGCTGCTGCTGTGTTGTGTGGAGAGCTCTTAGTAGAGTGTTATATTTGTTCTCATATTTTCCAGGCCTAACGGTCTTGGCAAATTCCAAAACTAACAAAAGATGAAAGCTGTGGTAGGGCTGGCACTGCACCAGAAGGGAGCTAGACAGCCTCTGGCAGAGCATGAGGTACCTGAGAGATGAAGGAGGGCTGCTTGCCTCTCTAAGTTGTAAGACCTGCACCAATGGCTTCACTTCCTGGATCAGTTCACTTTTCTGCAAAATCGGAGACAGGACTGGGTCAGGGGACCCAGCATCCCCTGTGAGGTTCTCTGATCGCCAGGTGTTATGCCTGCTCTCTCTCCAAAACATCAGTCTGAACTCCCTAACCACAATGTTCTCTTAGTTGGTATTTATAATTTTTGAAGATTTTTACTTTATTTTATGCATGTGGGTGTTTTTCCTACATGTATGTCTGTACATCACTTGTGTGCCTAGTGCTCGTGGAGGTCAGAAGAGGGCATTGGAACCCCTGGAACTGGAGCTACAGATGTTTGTGAGCCATCATGTGGGTGCTGGGTACCAAACCTAGGCCCTCTGCAAGAACAAGAAGTGCTCTTAACCATTGAGCCATCTCTCCTGCTGTTCTCAGTCATAATTAAGTCAATATATATGTTTTTACATTTTGTCACCACCAATTGTAGAATTTCAATCCCATATGGATAAATTGCCTGTCACTCCTTCCATGGATAGCTATAAAGAAGAGAAATGGAAGTTGGAAATATAAAAGAAACTAAATCAGGAACAAAGTTGGTACTTTTGATATGGAGACTTGGACAGGACCAAAGAAGTTGAACAGCTCAACCCTGGGCTTTGGAAGCCCTTCCCATATGTTAGTGGGGGAGAATGCAGGAGATTTGTGTGCCTGTTGGTCTCAAGTTCCAAAATCCTACATGTTAGGGGAGATCAATTCTCAAAGGTCTGTCCATCTCCAAACCTCTCTCATTTCTCTGGGTACCAAATATTAGGTAACAGGGTCTGGGGATGGGAGTGAAACCTTATTATCGGCATTATTCAGATGTGACCCAAAGAAGTCAACATGAAGTGTTCATGAACATCTTCACTGCTGTCAAGTGGGAGCAACAGCTCTAGAAACCTCTGGAACAATGTTTAGGGCCTGCCTTTGAGGTGTCCCACTTGGGGAATAAGGGAGCCTGTTCCCCTAATTCTCTTTTGCCTCCTGACAGTTGTTACTCCCCAGAACATCTAGCCTGTCTTCAGTTACATCTGACCATGCAGTTGAGGCAGTCTTTAGGCAGAGTCACAGATATTACAACAGGCCCTTGGCAGGTGAGGGATTCAGGCAGGACAAACGTTGATCTGATGGAGATGCCCACATGATAAAATAGAAGAGATTTCAGCAGCTCTGAGGACCACCCCCAATCAGAGCTCTTACTCTGTTTAAGTAGCCCCTGCTAGATATTTACAAGTGTCTTATTGAGACTATGAAAATAAATTCCTGAGAAATATCTTACTACTGAATATTTTGATAATAATAGGCTCCATCCTTGCCTAATCATAATTATTAATCTAAGGTACATAAAACTCATACTCATTTTAACATTAAAAATGTCAATTCTAAATATGATGTGGTGGGCCTGCCTGTATACCAGTGCTCGGGAGATGAAGTCAGAAGAGTGAATTTAAGGCCAGTCTGGGTTGTATGAGACTACCTTGGAATAACACTAATACACAGCAACACACACATAGAATGGTTGTTTGGGGGAAGTTTCTAGCAAATACCATTTCTCCAATCTGAGTTTAAAGTTCTTGACACAGTTCTTCTGTCTGCATGCTTAAGAGAACAGATGGTCTGAGGAGCTTGGAGGTGGCCTGGTGGGTAAAGTGCTCACTGTGTGAGCCTAGAGACCTGGGTTTGAATTGCTAGGACCCATGTAAAGCTGGCTGTTTGTGTCTGTAATCCCAGGGCTCCTATAGGGAAATGGGAGGTAGAGACACAGGAACCCATGAACACACAAGGGGCAGCTAACCTGGGGTACTCAAAGGGACCCTGCCTCCAAGGAGGAAGGCAAGGACTGTGATACCTGAGCTTGTTCTCTGACCTTCACATGCACACCATGTCATGCATCCCCTGCATTTACATACCCCCTCCCCACCACCCACACACACACACACACACACACACACACACACACACACACCCATATACCAACACTGTGTACATGCACACATATACAAAGTTGATTTTAAAAAGAATGTGGTCTCCATATTATATGGCCTTTTCTCCATGTTTTCTTGATTTTGGTTTTGTTGTTTATTTTTTGTGTCTGGGTGTTTTGCCTGCATGTGTGTCTGTGTACCATGTGTGTTCTTGGAGCCTGCTGAGACCAGAAGAGGATGTCAGATCCCCTGGAACTGGAGTTATTGATGACTGTTAGCCACCATGTATGGACTGGGAATCAAACTCACATCTTCTGTAGGAACAGCCAGAGCCTCTAAATGCAGTGGTGGCACATGCCTTTAATCTCAGCACTTGAGAGGCAGAGGCAGAGGCAGAGGCAGGCCTGGTCGACAAAGCTACACAGAGAAACCCTGACTCGAAAAAATCCAAGAGAGAGAGAGAGAGAGAGAGAGAAAAGCAGATGGTCCTATTATACAGCCCCTGTCTGGCCTGGAACTTGCTATGTGATGGCTTCAATTTCACAATGATCCTTCTGCATCTGCTTCCTGAGTGCTGGGATTAAAAGTGCACCATCCCCTAGAATGAGATTGATGAATACTCTCTATGCTATTCTAGAGTCCTCATCCAGTGGCTGATGAGAGCAGAGACAGACATCCACAGAAATACACTGAGCTGAAATCTGGAACTCAGTTGAAGAGAGGGAGGAATGAAGAACGAAGGGGTCTGTACCTGGTTGGAGAAACCCACAGAAACAGTTGGCCTGAAAAAGGGAAAGCATATCGACCCCAGATGCTCTTTGGGAGGACAGTACAGGACTAATCCAGCCCCCTGATCATGGATGCCAATGGGGAGGCCCCTGCACTCCTGGGAGCCTCTGGAGGTGGACTGGCGTTTTGCCCTGGTGGGTGGGAGGGACTTCGAGAGCCCATCCCACTTGAAGGATTGGGGAGGGGGGGAGGGAGAGGGAGAGGGAAAGTACATGTGAAAATATTAATAATTTAATTAAAAAATGCAAAAAAAGCAAACAACGGAAAAAAGTGCACCATCATGTCTATTTAAAAAGATTTAGTGTGTGCTATATTTTTTTTTGTGTTTAGTGTGTGTGTGTGTGTGTGTGTGTGTGTGTGTGTGTGTGTGTGTGTGTGTGTGTGTTTGTGTGTGTGTGTGGTGTGAAGGTGTCATAGCTCATGTGTGGAGGTCAGAGGACCACTTTGTGAGATTGGTTTTCTCCTGCCACCTTTAGATGTGTTCTGGAGGCCAAATTCATGTAACCAAGTTGCACAGCCAGCACCTTTACCTATAGAGTCACCTTGCAGGCCCGAGGAAAATATGTAAAAAGTATTTACAACTTGAGTTTATTCTTCCATAATTAAAAGAAAGAGTCAAATACATTGCCCAAGGAAAACACCTACTTTGGTGGGTTAACAGTGGGAAATGAACATTTATTGATTTTTAGGATGTAATAAATGGCATACTAAGAACTTTAACAATAGCTGGCATGGCCAGATGCTTACAATGTGTTGAGCACAGATCTGAGGGCTGACATGTACATATTTCAGATTCACAATAATTGCACAAGATGGGCACCATTATTATTACTGTGCTTTGAAGTGAGGAAACCTTGCCCCAGAGACATTAAGAAATCTATCCAGGTCCTAAGAAATAGGCCAGCCTGCCAGAACTTGCATACTTGGCTGTGTGTTACATGTTACCTCATTTTACTCTGGAATGTGTAACATAAACTACAGAATGATTTATAATTCAGAATTCAGAAAAAAAGACTTGG